CAGGTGACGATGGACTTCGTCACGGGGTTACCGGCTGGATCAAGTGGGAACGACGTGATCCTGGTCGTCGTCGATCGGCTGACGAAAATGGCACATTTCGCAGCATGCAACTAATCAATCGCAGCCGAAGAAACAGCTCGCCTCTTCATTGCCACCATCGTTTGATTACACGGGATACCGGCAGCGATCATCAGCGACCGCGACACGAAATTCACCAGCAACTTCTGGCGGAACTTGTGGCAGCAGTTTGGCTCGCGACTACAGTTTAGTTCCTCGTACCACCCCGAGACCGACGGACAGACAGAAAGGACAAACCAGACCATGGAGCAACTCATCCGAGCCACGTGCGATGACCCGACCACATGGGAACAGCAACTGCCACTCATCGTATTCGCATACAACAACTCGCCATCTGCCACAACCCAACAGTCACCATTTTACCTGAACTACGGACAAGACCCCACAGTACCCATGACCCCGAATCCCGATAACCCAGTCCAAGGCGCGCAACAGCTCGCAGAAATACTGCAAGCAGCACGGACCCGAGCAGCAGAAGCAATAAAAAAATCAAACGTCATTGCTAAGCGCAACGCCGACCGACACCGCCGCCCCGTCACTTACCAATCCGATGACCTAGTATTACTCGACACTCAAAACCTCCGCCTGCCCATCACCCCAAAACTCCGCCCCCGATATTGCGGGCCATTTCGCATCAGCCACATGATCACACCCGTCACCGCCCATCTCCTCCTCCCTGCTGACTGGTACGTCAGCCCGTCATTCCACGTCAGCCTGCTTCGCCCATACGTGCCATCCATCAGCCAACTGCCTCGCAACCGCCCCGCCAGCATCACACGACCGCCGACAGAGCCAATCATCACGCCCGAAAAAATACTGAGCCACCGAGTACGTGACCCACGGGGAGCCCGCAGAATCGAATTTCTGATCCGCTGGAGAGACCGCACGCCCACCGAAGACAACTGGGTCCCTTTGGATAGAATTGAGAATCACCCTGTCCTCACCGAGTATCTGCGCAGCCGAAACTTTCGAGATGTACACGCGCTCTCGTAAGAGGGGCCTCCTTGGGGAGGGGGGTAGTGTAAGGAAAATTCCTTTTCCTTACTTCGCGTCCCTGCTTACCGCGTACATAACCGTTCCCGCCATCGGCACCCATCCATGAACGTTACCTGTTCACGACATTCGCCTCGACCACGACTCCCGCCACTGTTCACGACGCGACCCAACCTAACGGTTCGGTTGGTAACCCGCGCTCCGGACCTCCGCCTCGACAATTCTCCAAACCTCGGCGCTAGGCCCATAGCGCACCCCAATTTCCCACATTACCATTACCACACTAGCTTCGCTATATAACTTCGCTCATGCCTTTCGCTCAATTGTATTGATTGCTTCGATAGTGCAATTCTCACTCGCTCGTTCAATTGCACTCGTAACACTTTGTGTGTAACTTGGCTATAGGAAGACTTAACATTTTTGCTGACATTGGCTTCTCGTGTTACAGGGCGATCTACCAAGATGTTTGTCAGGTGTTACAATCCTAAAAAGGACTTAGCCAGGGATCGGCTTAGGGTTGATCGCAGGTAGTTTTGTTGCTGCGGAAGTGTTGACCTCATGTCAGAGTGAGAGTGTGTTCCTACAGCCTCATATCAGGCAACCTCGTATCAGTTTCGCGCCCAACCACACTAAAACGCATCCAACCGCAGTCGAACACACTGAAACGTATTTCACCACGCGAAGCTGATACGAGGTGTTTCTGATACGAGGTGTAGGAACACGCTATGAATGCAATGTCAAAACATATTCATATGTTCTTAGTTCTGCTAGGCTACAGTGAGGTGCTCAGTATAGAGTCAAACCCCAATTAGGGTTTCATACTTGTATCTTTTGCGATCAAGTGTTGATCGTCCCTAGGATCACCTCAGGAAGGTTCGCACACTTCTGAGTAGTGGTGGTGGGCCCTTGACCTCAATAGCAGAGTGGATGTAAAATGCTTGAGATGATAATACCGTAACATGCAAATACAGGAATATAAATAAAAGTACAAGGGAATTCGGATCGACCTAGGCTAGCCATGTACTCTAAGGGGTACATTCCCTTATTGCAGCGAAACCGTGCGACTCCAGACGGTTAAAAACTTCCTGGGCAGAATCCTCGCCACTGCTGCTGCCTGATGCTGTCTGCCCGACGGTCCAGATCCCTTCGTAACAGTACGACCTTTCGCGTCTCTTCCACCTTTCGTCTTCAGCCTCGGTAGTGCGTGCTTCGATTGCTGCGGTAAGGAGTGCACAGTAATGTTTCATCAATCACTATTCGTAACACCCCCCTTCATGTTAGAATAAGCAGGAGTGGGGATGTCAAGTGCATCCGGGTCTCCCTCAGGGGCAAGCAGCATGGTCGCGTGATGGGGTGAAGCGGGCCGCAAGGCACTCCAGCTCCTCCTGCCTGTCCTCAAGAACGTCACAGCCAAGGGCAGTACAGCCAAGAGCAGTCTCACCCCCGACGGACGGAGGACAGGTAGAGACATGGTCAGAGACAAGACTCGCAAGGTAGTCGAGGCGGTACACAGCAGCAAAGTCAACGAGCTCAGCTACTAGGGCAGACGCAGCAGGAGACGAGAACGTAGGGTCTGTCACAACCGTAGCAAGAAGGCGAGTAATAGTCGGACTGGACGCACGAGCAAGGTCAGACGGAGGGTCAGCAACGTAAGGCAGAGAGGACGCAGGAGGTAACGGTAGGACAACACGCTGTGGAGCAGGGGAAGGACGGAGTGTCATATCGTGAGTGCCGGGGACAGCCGGAGCACGCGGACGACGAGTACGATAAACACGAGCACGGACAGCAGCTCTAGGCTCAGGCTCAAGGTCAAAGCTAGACTCAGGCTCTCGACGCTCAGGGGTGGAAGCACGAGTCTCAGGCTCTCGACGCTCAGTTAGGGACTCTGACACCGCAGTGTAAGGAGCAGGAGCAGGCAGTGGGGAGTGCAGTAGCAGCGGCGGCTGTGACTGGTCCGCCGGTGGAAACAGTAACGGAGGAGTAGTACCTGCCACAGGGAAGTCAGTAGCACCTGGCGGAAGACTGAGAAGGTGGCGAAGAGCACCAGTAGCTCCCGTACCTCCAGCACGAGCAGCTCCTCCAGTACCCCCAGCAACACCTCCAGCACCAGTAGCACCAGCACCTCCAGCACCACGAGCTCCGACAGCGCCAGCACCTCGAGCACCAGTAGTACCTCCAGCACCTCCAGTGCCTCCAGCTCCAGCTCCAGCGCCTCTAGCACCAGTAGTACCTCCAGTACCTCCTGTGCCAGCAGCTCCAGTAGCAACTCCAGCACCTCCAGCACCAGCAGCACCACCTGCTCCGGCAGCTCCAGCACCTCCAGTACGAGCACCTCCGGGGCCAGTAGCTCCAGCACCAGCACCTCCAGGGTCAGCAGCTCCCGCACCCCCAGCACCTCCAGTAACATGAGTACCTCTAGCACCAGCAGCTCCAGTACCTCCAGCTCCAGGACCTCCAGCACCGGAAGCACCTCCAGTAGTAGCACCTCCAGCACCTCCAGCACCAGCAGCAGCTCCAGTACCCCCAGCACCAGCAGCACCTCTAGCACCAGCAGTACCTCTAGTACCTCCAGTAGTACCTCCAGCACCTCCAGCAGCTCCAGCACCAGCCGGACCGTACCCTCCACCACCAAGACTGCCTCGTCGAACGACCCACGCACGAATCGCCTGCGGCGAGAGCGTCTCAAGTAGAGCAGGCTGCGGTGGCTGTCCAGCTCCAGTACCTCCAGTAGTGGTAGCTCTAGCACCTCCAGCACCAGAAGCACCTCCAGCTCCAGCACCTCCAGCACCAGCAGCAGCTCCAGTACCTCCAGTAGTACCTCCAGGCCTAGTAGCTCCAGTACCTCCAGCTCCAGGACCTCCAGAAGGACTCGTAGCACCCCCAGAGTCAGCACCCGAAGTCTCAGTACCCCCAGGCTCAGTACCCTCAGGATCAGTACCCTCAGTCCCAGCACCCGCAGGCTCAGTGCCCTCAGTCCCAGCACCCGCAGGCTCAGTACTCTCAGTCCCAGCACCCGCAGGCTCAGTACCCTCAGTCCCAGCACCCGCAGGCTCAGTACCCTCAGTCCCAGCACCCGCAGGCTCAGGACCCTCAGTCTCAGCTCCAGTGTCCACTGCAGAAGGCTGCAGAGGAGGGAAACCGGGGGGGTAGCCAAACGAGGAGAGCAGTCACCCCCAGACGTACCACTCCCAGGCCCAGCTCCAGAGTCCACAGCAGCAGGCTGCGGAGGTGGCGAAGACGGCCGAGGCGGGAAACCCGGGGGGGTCTCCAAGCGAAGAGTGCGGCGAGTGGTCGCCGTGTCGTCGGCGGCGGTGTCACCCCCCTCAGCTGGGTCAGAGGAGTCAGAAGAGATCTCCACTGGCTCATACAAGGGGGGTGGGTCTACCTGAGACACACCTGAGGGAGCAGGACCCTGTGGGGGAAGGGGGTCTACCGGGGGGGGAACTGGTACCAGGAAGAGAGGCGCGAGGGGGACCGGGTGGGACGCGTGTGGGTGAAGTCGGTAGTAACAGACCGACTCGTCGAAGGTGACGTCCTGAGAGGACAGAACACGACGCGAGGCAGGGTGGTAGAACTGCCAGGGTGGAGCGTCGGTGGGGAATCCCAGGAAGACACAGCGGAGAGTGCGAGGAGAGAGCTTGCTCGCTTTGGTATCGCGAACAAGGGAGAGCGCGCCCCAGACCTGAAACGACGACGCATCACCAGGCTGTCCCGTCCAACGGAGTGTGGGCGAGGTCTCTGGAGCAGAGACACGGGGCCAGAGGTTGAGCTGATGCGCGGCGTATCGGACCGCAAACGGCCACAGGAAATGGGGAGCAGCCACATGGATCATGGAGGTACGAGCAACCTCCATGATCAGGCCAATGCGACGCTCAGCGATCCCATTTTGCTGCGGAGAGGCCGGAAGTGTGAACGACTGGGCGATGCCCTCATCCTGGCAGAACGTCTCAAGGACGCCAGAGGAGAACTCACCACCCCTGTCAGAGTGCAGACGCAGGACTGGGAAGTCCTGCTGAAAGCGCTCGTGCAGCTGGAGACGAGTAGCAAAGATCCAGGGGATCAAAACACCGCTGACGTCCGCCTTGCGACGCAAGGGGAAATCTGTGGTGTAGCGTGTGTAGTCGTCAACATCCAGCAGGAAGTAGCGCTCCTGGTCCGTCCCACCGACGGGGGCCGGGCCCCACACGTCCAGGTGGAGAGTCTGCAGAGGAGCAGTGGTCGGAGGAAACTCGGAGGAGTGAGGAGCGGCGCGCTGCCGCCCCTCAACGAAAGGAAGGCACGGCGGGGCAAGCGAGCGCGGCAGGGGGGGCAGGGTCCTGGGGAGGCCAGAGACAAGGAGACGGGAGTGCATACTGCGTAGACGCTGCAGGGAGGGGTGACCAAGACGGTGGTGCCAGCGCTGAGTCTCGTGCGTGAGTACTCTGCACGAGGAAGACGCAACTAACTGCCCCGACGCAGACGCCCGACTCGACGCAGCCGCCTGACCTGACTCAGCCACCAGTGCAGACGCAGTGGTCAGTGTGTACTGACTAGACCCAGGCTGTCGAGTGAACGTAGACAGGTGACGGCCAGTCCGGGAGCACGTACAGATCGCCACACGCTGCCCTCCAAGAATAAAGGTATCAACCCAGACATCCTGAATGGCAGCGTTGCTCACCAAGTTCGTCGAGAACGTGGGGAGGTGGAGACCTGCTAGAGAGCCGGAGGGGACTGCTGGACAAGGGAGGACCGTGGAGGCTCTCGCAACTACTGGGCCCCCAGAGGGGTCACCCAGTGAGACAGGGACAGGTGCTGTGAGTGGTGTGACTGTGGTGCAATCACGAAAGAAGCAACGTGACGCGCCTGAGTCAAGCGTGAAAGTGTGCAAGACCTCAGCTGAGGCAGGACCTGTGGTAGTAGACGCACTAGCACCTAGAGCGTCGGCAGACTCACGGACACCTAGAGCTGCAGCAGACTCACTAGCACCTGGAGCGGCAGCAGACTCACCAGCACCTGGAGTGGCAGCAGACTCACTAGCACCAAGAGCAGCAGTCTTAACAAAACAATAACCTCCACCACCAGGACGGCCTCGCTGAATAACCCACTCACGAAGCTGCTGAGGGGTGGGGTCGTCCGGGAGAAGCAGTGCCCGCTGCTGTCCACCCCTGGCCGCAGCAACTGCCGCGATAGTGGCCATGACAGACAGCGACGGTCAGGAGTAGGCCCAGCACCTCCAGCTCCTCCAGCACCAGCAGCACCTCCAGCACTCCCAGTAGCACCTCCACAAGCAGCAGCAGTAGCACAAGTAGCAGCAGCAGTAGAAGTAGCAGCAGCAGCAGTAGCAGTTTTTTTTTTTTTTTTTTTTTTTTTTTTTTTTTTTTTTTTTAGGGTTTAGGGTTGCGCGAGGCCCACGGGCTGCAGGGGCGACGCGCCGCTCGGCAGGGCGGCGCGCGGGCTGCAGGGGCAGCGCCCACGGGCTGCAGGGGAGACAAGGCAGCTCGGCAGGGCGGCGCGCGGGCTGTAGGGGCGGCGCGCGGCTCGGCAGGGCGGCGCCCAGGCTGCAGGGGCGACGCTCGGCTCGGCAGGGCGGCGCGCGGGCTGCAGGAGCAGCGCCCACGGGCTGCAGGGGCGACGTGCGGCTCCGCAGGGCGGCGTACGGGCTGCAGGGGTGACGCGCGGCTCTGCAGGGCGGCGTACGGGCTGCAGGGGCAGCGCCCACGGGCTGCAGGGGTAACGCGCGGCTCGGGAGGGCCGCGCGCGGGCTGCAGGGGCAGCGCCCACGGGCTGCAGGGGCGACGCGCGGCTCTGCAGGGCGGCGTACGGGCTGCAGGGGCAGCGCCCACGGGCTGCAAGGGCAGCGCCCACGGGCTGCAGGGGCAACGCGCGGCTCGGCAGGGCGGCGCGCGGGCTGCAGGGGCAGCTCCCACGGGCTGCAGGGGCGACGCGCGGCTCGGCAGGGCGGCGCGCGGGCTGCAGAGGCAGCGCCCACGGGCTGCAGGGGCGAACGCGCGGGCTGCAGGGGCAGCACGCGGGCCACAAGGGCAGGCACGGCTGCAGGGGCAGCACGGTCGCAGGGGCAGGCACAGCTGCAGGGGCAGCACGGTCGCAGGGGCAGGCACGGCTGCAGGGGCAGCACGGTCGCAGGGGCGAGTACGGCTGCAGGGGCAGCACGGTCGCAGGGGCGAGTACGACTGCAGGGGAAGCGCGGTCGCAGGGGCAGCACGCGGGCTGCAAGGGCAGCGCGGCTGCAGGGGCAGCGTAGGAAGAAAAAAATTACGGCTAGGGCAGGGCGGAACGTTCGGTGGGCCCTAGGAACGATTCTGCTCTGATACCATGTTAGAATAAGCAGGAATGGAATGAGTGAACTAGGCAAGAGGTGAGTACAAGTAGGGGAAACCTAACCCTAAAGTGTTGTACTCACTAAAGAGTGACCCTACTGTAGCCTAGAGATACAATTGTAATTTGACACTTCACTCCTGGCCGTAGCGAGTTTTGACCCGCTTGACTACTCCGCTGAGCTCGGAGCTGGTACTGCTGACGTGACAGTCGCTTCGTGAGGAAGTCGGTTGCCAGGTCACCCGTCGGGCAATAGGTGAGGTCAACCTTGCCCTTGTCAACTTCGTCCTTGACGAAGAAGTACCGCAGCGCGATGTGTTTGGTGCGGTTGACGAACCCGGGCTTGTTCGCGATCGTGATCGCGCTCTGATTGTCGCAGTGCAGGCGAAAGTTCACCGAGGCTGGAATTTTCGCCTCCTGCAGCAGCTCCTGAAGGTAGAGGCCTTCGCGAACGGCTGCTGTTGCTGCGATGTATTTGGCCTCTGCTGACGACAGGGCAACCAGCTCCTGTTTCTGCGAATTCCAAGAGATGGGGCCGCTGGGCTCGAGGCGGAAAAGGAAGCCTGTCCTGGACCGTCGATTGTCGGGGTCAGCTGCATGATCAGCGTCCACGTAGCCGATGAGGTTGAAGGATGCGGTTGGGATGGTGGAGTAGCAGAGCCCAACATTGGGCGTGGAGATGAAGAACTATAATGCCCGCTGAAGGTCTCGTAGATTCTCAGCCGTTGGTTTGCGGGAGTAGTGAGCCAACTGGCTCGCGATGTAGGAGAGATCGGGCCTGCAGGTAACGGAGGCGAAGAGCAGGCATCCCAGCTGCTGCTGGTAGGTCTGAAGCCCAGCGGGGGACAGGGTTTTGTTATCAGGCTTGTGGTTGGGTCCTGGAGTGCGGTAAGGGGTGGAGAGTGGTGCAGGTGCAATGTTGAGGCGCTTGCCAAGTTCTTCTGCGTACTTGGCTGATAAGAGATGAATGGCTTCTGGCGAGTGGGAGATGTTGAGGCCGAGAAACTGCTTCACGTCATGGTTGCAGGTGATATCGACGCGCCCCGCGAGATTCTTCTCGAGCTGCTCAAGCAACTTGTTGCTTGACACAGTGTAGAGGACGTCGTCGACGTAGACTGTGAGCAGGATGTATTCGCCGCGGAAATCGCGGCGATACATCCCGGGGTCGTGAGGCTGCTGCTTGAAGCCTATCTCGAGCAGGATGTTGTGCAGGTACTGCTGCCAGAGCCTTGGCGCCTGTTTAATCCCGTAAAGGGACTTTCGCAGCTGGCACACGCGTGAGTCTCCCTCGCCGTAGGTGTGCGGCTGCTCCACGTAGATTACAACATCTACTAACGCGTAGAGGAACGCGTACTTCACATCAATCTGTCGGAGCGGGAGGTGTCGTGCGGCAGCGATGGCGATGAGGATTCTGACGGAGGTATGACGGCTGACCGGCGCAAACGTTTGGTCGAAGTCGATTCCGTGCCTCTGGTCGTAGCCACGTACGACCCAGCGCGCCTTGAATCGCTCAATCGTCCCGTCTGCTACGGTTTTCACGCGGAAGACCCATTTCCCGGAGAGAATCCTTCTCCCCTTGATTGCCGCTCGATCAACGAGCACCCAGGTGTCGCGGGACTCAAGTGCCTTGATTTCCGCATCCATCGCCTCGCGCCATTCCTTGCTGTGTGGTCCCGTGAGTGCTTGGCGTGGATTTTTCGGCTCGATGACACGTGGCGCCGTTGAGGTGGCGGTGTGGAGCCCGAGAAGTTGAAGTCCAGAGACGGTATATCGTGGCGATGCTGCGTGATGACCTCCTGCACATCGTCATCGTCGCTTTCCGGTTCAGGTGGTGCTGGCGGTGTTGTGCCTCTGCCGCTTCCGCTTCCGCCTCCGCCTGCTGCGCCTGCTCCTCCTCCGGGGGAGTCGTCGTCGTCGTCGTCGTCGTCGTTGCTGCGGCGATCGCCTCTTGTGAACTCGCCTCTGGTATCCTGCTCCAGAATGGCTGCTACAGCTTTGTCCTCAGGTGAGGCGTAGCTGCGCCCGTCATTGGCGTAGACGCGATTCGCGTTCGCCTGCTCGTCTTCGCGGAATTGCCAAAGGAAGAGCCGCTCGTAGAAGATAACATCACGTGCGTTAGTTATCTTCTGGCTCATAAGGTCCAAGATGAGCCATGCCTTGTGTTCGTGGCTGATGCCGAGGTGAATTCCCCAACGCGCACAGCTTGCAAATTTCCCGATAGTTGACGTTGGCGGGCGGTACTGCACCATGCATCCCCACACGCGGAGCATTGATGTGTCGCCCTTGGTCCCCGTCCACTTCACATGCGGCGATGAGTTTCCGGTGATGGCCGTGGTTGACATCAGGTTGTGCACTCGCACGGCGTGGTACATTGCGTAGGTCCAGTATGTTGGCGGAAGCTTCGACTGCTTCATCAACGCCCGCACCTTCGTCATGAGCGTACGGTTCGTGCGCTCAGCTACCCCTTGCTGCTGGTGCGCGTAGGGGAGGGAAATGTGATGCTCGATTCCCTTCTGCGCCAGGTAATCCTGCATCTCCTTGCTCCTGAACTCCGCTGCGCCGTCAGATTGCCAGATTTTCAGCTTCACCCCAGATTGCCGCTGCGCGTGTGCCAACCAGAGGCAGAACAATTCGTACGCTCTGCTGCACGCCTCCACGTTCACGATCCAAACGTAACGTGTTCCGGCATCGACGAAGGTGAGAGTATACATTTCGTCGTTGATTCCACAGTGCCCCACGTTGAGGAAGTCACTGTACACCTTCTCTAGTTTGGCGTAGCGGTTGGTTCTAGGCTCTAGCAGGGGGAACAGTTGGTGACTCAGCGCAGCTTCGGGGCAGACGATGCAGTTGCGCGGATGTGTCGCGCCTCTCACTTCGGTGCCATCAGGGCGCAGGAGTGCGCCGGGCGCGAACACGCTGGCCTCGATGCAGTTCTTCAGCGTTACGCGCGAGGGGTGACCGAGGCGCTGGTGCCAGAGGGCATCGTCGGCGCGGAATCTAGAGGTGCGCATGTAGCGCGCGTGTGCTTCTGCGGGGTCCTCGTCAGATGCTTGGACAGGTGTCGCCGCTGCCTCTTCAGCTTCTTCTTCTTCGTTCGCCGTCGTCAGCATCAGCGCTGAGCTCCTGCGAATCACCGCTGCAATCGGGAATACTGAAGTCGAGGATGTAAACGCCGTTTTCGGAGTGCGCTCGTCCGATCTGCTTGCGCGTCTTGTTCGGCATCGTGTAGTGGAGCCGGATGTCGCGTGTCTCAGGGTCCGTGCTGAGGTCGACTCCGCAATCCATGAGTTGCGACGCCGAGAGGAGACTAAAGCGCAAATTCTGCACGATCAGCACGTCGTTCAGCGTGATGTGCGTCCTGCTCCCTCGCGCCTTGAGCACCACGATTCCTTGCGCGCTTGCGCGTAGGCGCGTATTGTTCGCCACGGTGACATAGGTCACGGCGGGGGTGGAGACAGCGTTGGATATGAAACGTTATGAGCGTGTTGTAACACCATATGTTGCCCACAGCAGCTATCCAAGTACCAAGTGTTGTAGCGCCTGTTGTCGTTACGTGCGAGCAGCGCCAGTCGCGGAGTAACGATGTGCGGTGTGTCAAACTTGAGAAATTGCTCACGCGAGATCCAATCGATCGGAGCCGCCCGCATATCAGGTACGTGCGGGGGGCTTTCAAGCAGCGGGACTGGGAGATTCCAGTCCTGTTTGTCGTCGTCGCTGAAATCATGGCGCGTGCTGAATGGATTGTTGTTCGAGAACACTCCGACTGGGTGACGTGACGGCCCAGGTGATGGCGACCGCACGTGGGGACGACGTGATCGTCATGTTGCCCATGACGTTGCGGACGGGCGCTGTCGGTGGCTG